GTTCGCGTGGTCTGGCTGCGAGCTTCCCCGAAGCCCCGTGCTGACCGAACCTGACACTCATCTGATAAAATATCCAGGAAATTCTGATCTTTTTTATGTCCAGTCATTGTTATCTGATCAGAATGATTTAATTTCCCTGAACATAGCTAAATTTTGTTATACTGTCTGCAAAATTAGGCAGATCTTGACTGCCCACTGATGATCCCACCAACCTGTAAATATATTATCATGTTCTGTTCATTTCATTTAATGTATTTTTAATATATTTCAATATTAAATATTGATTTATTATTGAATATAATAAATTTATATTTTAATGTATTTTTATTTATAATTCTGGTCCATGACTGTAATAAAGATGATGATGATGATCTCAGAACCCCTAACTGTATTGTTTGAGAACTCCTGGAGTATAGGGAAGTGCCAGAAGACTGGAGAAGAGCTATTGTATTTACCATCTTTTTAAAAAAGAAAAACGTGGACCCAGGAAACAACCAGTCAGTTTGACATCAGTGTCTAGGAAAATCTAGGAAAATTAGAAGATATAATCAAGCAGTGGATTTGCAAGCATTTAGAAAGCCAGATGGCGATTGCTACAAATGTACTAAAAAGCGGTTGTGTCAGACAAATCTTACTTCACTTTTTTGACAAAATAATTAAATTAGTAAACCAAGGGAATGCTATGGTTGTAGTGTGCTTAGACTTCAGTTGTTAATCCTGAAGGAGGATGGGGACCAAGTAGAGCCACCGATATCCAGCTATTGCTGGAGACTCCAGAAGTAGCAGAGCCAGTGACCCGACTCTGGCTTTTACAGAACCAGCAAGGTAGCAGGACCTCTCATCCACAGTCCCTGACCGTCTGTCGGACTCCAATTCCTGAGCTGTAGGCAGAGGTGCCTAACAGAGACTCAGTAGCAGAGAGCTAGACTTCATAGACCTGTGAGGCTAGCTAAAAGGTATGGGAGTGCCAACAGGAGAGCAGACTCCACAGCTTCTGTGATGTGTCTCATCTGGCACTGGGTGGAGGCTTAGTGTGGCTTATTTACTGCACTCCCTTGCTGGGGAAAGTGCTGAGAACAACTCTTTAAAACTCACCTCTGACCTGCGTGTTTGTTCTTTGCTGTATCTTGGACCCTGGATTTTGCGTTCTATGTCTCTTGCCTCTTGCATGTGGACAAGATAAAGTAAAAGTCTAAAGTAAAAGTCAAGCTACTACAGCCACAAGGAAACCTGCCCGCCCTTTCCTAAGGATGTGGGACTGCATGGATGCAATAAGGGCAGAGAAGAATTGACCCTTTGCTGCCCTTCTGGCCAGAGGGTTGGCTCAGGCGTGAGCTCATACCTATGTCAGGTGGCATCCAGTTTTAGTTTGACACCATCATCATTCCAGGTTCTTTTCACTCACTTCATCTCCTGGAACCCCTGAATAAGCCAATGAGCAGTGTGAAGTTGACATCTGGACAGAGGCCTCACAACAAGAATCTCACCCAATGCTCTGGCCATGTCTATATTCTAGGTGCAAGATGGAACCACCTGCCAAATTGTTGGATAACTCTCCGAAAGCCCTTTGGAAACCAAGTGGATTCATTAGGTGCCTTGGGTGGACTATTCTAATAGATTTTCCATCCTCCCAGAGATTCAAGGTGCCAGCGATTCACAATGGCCCAACCATAGCAAAAGACAGGTATTACGTTCTCCATATTCAAATCATGTCCCATCCCTTCTGAAATAAAAAATCAACTCAAGCATGTGCCCTACAGGGTAGACCAGACTAAGAAACCAATGCCATATAAGTCTAAAACTACTTGCATTAGAACAGCTCTAGTAACAGAATCTTGCCAGTCTGAATGTGCTTCCTCCCTCACTTTATTTTCATCTGAATTAGGGAGGGGCCTGTCTGAGACCTTTCCTGAAGTTAGTTTCCTGGAATGGATTTAAGTCACACTTGTCTGATTGTTGCCTTGGTTGCAGATCTTCCTGTTGTCCTTCGAGGCCTTTCTTTATGTGCTGTACAATCAGAGCCACCACTACCTGGGAGAATGCCACAGTCTCTGGGGAGACCACACACTCATGAGTCAACCTGGACTCCTCTTCCAGGGCAAGGAGGTTGAGGACTTCAGGACCGCAACATCAGCAGCTTGTTATATTGAATTATATTCTATTTATATGCATCCACACGCACACATTTATATGCAGCGATGCAGTTTTAGATTAGCTTTCAGTGAAAAAATAACACATTCTGGCTCTTGCAGTTAGGGCTTATTCTGAATTATGAGATACCAATAGGGATGTGCGCAAGATGGAAAACAAAGCAGCCCCACTTTCAGGACACCTCAAGCACCCTATGCTCTGTCTGAACAAAAACTGAACCATTTCAAGCGTTCCTTATTCCAATGGAATAGCAATGCCTGTGTATCTAGCCCTATGAAACAACAGGAATTTGGAATACGCCCTTGCTTATCTGGTTTTGCCCTAGAACTACAACTGTAGGTGCAGCAATGTATAACGGCGAGTACTGCACACCACTCAGCCCATGGGAAGATTGCCCAAGCAAACGGTTTTTAAATTCTTTTTGAAAACATTCCATAGCAAGCAATGGAGCCAAGCAAGCAGTTAAGCATTCTTGTTGCACTTGGCCTGCCTAGCCAAACAGCTGCAGTACTGAGCCCAGCAAAGAAGCAAACAGCAGCAAGGGATTCCCTTCAGTGCTTGCCCACTTCCTCCTCTCAACTAGCTCTAGCTGATTAACAGCAGTGGTAGAACCTGGCTTATGACAGGCCAAATCTCCACAGTTTGCAGAAAGGTAAAAGAGAAGAAACTAGTCAAGGAATACTGGAACACTTTAAATGATGAATATTGCTCCAGTTTTGTCCCACACGTAAGACAAATAATCTGGCAAAAAAGTAAAGGTAGCTGTTTCTGCAGGTATGTATAGCAGAATACATTTAGCCATTTTTGGAGAGCAACCACAGCAAACAGCATCTCTGCCATGAAGACTTTAACTTTTCACCAACTAAAGAAAGGAGAAGAGATTGAAAGTGCAAGTGTGGCTTTGCGTTGGTGTGCCCTGCATTTAAGGCTTTTTGGCAATTCTGCATTTGTGCTTTTCTTTTCGTGGACTTGAAACAACTTGAGTCGAACTGCATTAGCTAAAAGTTTTACTGCCCCCATGAAGTCTTAGCCTGTTTTAAATCAAAATGATTATATCAGGATCAAACTGGAAAGATTATTTTTAGCATACCTGATGAAAGACTGCCTCATATGCAGTGCAATGTACAACAATGTGGTTACTGAAAGAATGGCTCAGATGAGAAGCAAGACCCCCAGGCACCCCTGAGGCTGACATCTGGCACAGAGAGAAGAGCCCGAGTCAGGGGCTGGCTGCCTCCTGTGCAGTTCTTACCAATCAAAAGTGAGCGGAAGTTCAGGTGGGCTCTCTCCAAAGACACAGCCGGGTCTGTGGTGTGACCAACCAGGAGGAATGGGACAGTGATGTTGTGTTCCAAAATTGCGAAGGTCCAAAAGGATTCTGTAACATCCAGATGCTTGGGAATGAATTCAAATATAATCTAGAGATGAAAAGACAGACACGATGTTCTGGCTAGCAGTTCTCGCTAGTGGCAATATGTAAGCTATGCAGAGTAATGCAATCATTTGGATCCTGAATTTAGCATTTTACTTCAAAAGCCTTTACAAGTATGCAAAAATTCCAAAATAGCATGTAACAGTTGGATGTTTAAAAGTTAAATAATATTTAAAATATTACAGTATGTCGAATGCTTAGGTGAGTTTTTCACTGGCATGTGAAAAACTACGGAAGGTTTTCTACCAAGCTGAGAAGCCCTTCTTCCCTCATCTCCAAACTACCGGAGAAGGAGCTACGGCATATTTCAGCCCCTCCCTGATGGAGAAGCAGAGCCATGATAGTGGGGAAAAGAAAAGAATCAGAACCCTACACTGTGGCTGAATTAGAAAGGAACCACCGCTAACATCCCGGGAGCACGGTGGCCTGGAACTTCTTTCAAGCTGGCACAAAGCCCTCAAGAGGAGATGCTCAGAGCAGCCATGTTCACATGCAGCGGCACTCCAAGAGCAGCAGAGACCCTTTTGACCTGGAACCCCTCTTCTGTGCACGCACCTCCATCTTCTTCTCTGGCCGGAGCAGCCCCCGCTCAGTGAAACAGATGAAGGCTGGGGGCTCTTTCCCCTCTTCCTGCTGCTCGCAGGTCCACTGGAAAGAGTAGGCAGCATTGGTGGGGTTCAGGATGGCAAAGCTCCTGCCACGAAAAGGAGTCAAATCATAGAAATCCAATCTAAAAAGTAACCTAACCAGATGTTTCTTTATCATCAGTTGTATTATCTGGCATTTAATGGTATTTAAAATTAATCTTAACATAGTGGAAAGAGTTACAAAACTAAGATTCTCTTTTTTTTTAATAATAATTTTATTAAAGTTTACAAATACAGAGATAAAAGACTAATACAAACTAAGAGAAATAAGTGAAGTAAAGAAAAAGAAAAGTACAAAGAGAGAGAAAAAAAAAAGGACAAGAAAAAAAGATAAGGAGAAATATAAAAATGACTCCCCCTCCCTCCAGACAAATATAAACAACTTCAGTAACTTAACCCCTTCTCTAGTATTTTAATAATAATAAAAAATTCTTTTTCCCATATCTCACCTCTAATTAATGAACAAATTGTAAAAATTCATCATTCAATCCTATTCAGCAAAAGTCCAC